TGAAGATCAGCATGCCGCTTGGGATCGCAAGGGGAACTTCTCTCAAAACTGCCTCATGGCATGTTCATTCAACCTTTTGTTTACCTACATGTTGAGCAGTTGGGAGGGGTCAGCTGCAGATGCTCGTGTCTATCACGATGCTCGTACTACTGATTTCAATATCCCTGAGGGAAAGTATTATCTTGCGGATGCTGGTTTTGGCTTGTGCGATGAGCTTCTGGTCCCGTTTTGGGGCGTGCATTATCATCTTGCAAAGTGGGGTCGTGCTAATACTTTGTATGATGCATTCTGCTAGTACCATTCATACTTATGTTCACATTGTTACATAGGCCTCGTAATCGCAAAGAACTTTTCAATTTGCGTCATGCAATGCTTCGAAATGCTGTTGAGCGCATTTTTGGTGTCATCAAGCGCCAATTTCGTATCCTTCTCCTCCCACCAGAGTACAAAATGGACATTCAAGCACGCATTCCTCCTGCCTTGTGTCTCATGCACAACGTTATTCGAGTTCACGATCCAAACGACATGATGGACTATTGTAATGTCTTTGATGTGCACATTCTCACTGACACTGGAAACCTTGCTAACGGTCCTCCTACTGAGCACGCACGCACTCGTGCGAGCCTCCGTCGTGACCAGATTGCTAATGAGATGTGGGAGGCCTACAACAGGGAAAGGATTCAGAGGGGGGAGCAGGCAATCATAGAACCACTAGTACTGTAGTCGCGTTAATACCATAGCCATTCGGACCCTCATCGATGACTATGATCCAAAGTATCTCCGTCAAATGATGACATTGTTGTCAGATTAAGACTGGATCCTCATTGATGACTATGATCCAAAGTATCTCCGTCAAATGATGACATTGTTGTCAGATTAAGACCAGATCCTCATCAATGACTATGATCTATAGAAATAGTGATATTGCTTTGCTATTACAAGTACAATACAAGAGAACATGACACGACAAGAATCCATGTAACACTACTTTGAATGCTGCTCTAAAAACAACCGCCGAAGACTATCTACCTCAATAGCGAGATAAATATCAATGATAGCGATGTCGGTCTGAAATTTATTCAAGATATTGAGTAGTTGTACGTCCTCTAGACCCTCACTCTGCAACTTTTTCACCACCTTCTGCCTGCGCAAAGGGATGGGATCTACTGATCGCGCCAAGGTGTTGGAGGTGTTGGCCTCAAGAGCATTGGCCGCGTGCTTGAATGTTGTGTTAAGACCACCAATACTGGTCCCCATCTGCTGGATGGCCACAGGCATCGTCAGGCGTGCAGACTTCGCCGAGTCTCCCGATTTCGTTGAATGTGGGGGGCAGGTAACAATATCAAGCGTACTTTCATCATCATCAATCAGCTTCCGTTTACCAGAAGCTGTTGATGATGGCGCACTAACACAGACCGACTCAAGGGAGGGTTGCTGTGCAGCATCAAATGGAGGGAGGCTCTCTGGGGTGAGGGAGGTTGCGCGCTGGCCGCCTGAAACAGAGCCGGGGAACTCGATCCCATCGAGCGCATTTCCAAGGTCCATCATATGGACCTCATCAAAAGAAAGGGGGGTGGCTGCGCTGCTAGAAGAAGGCGAAGGAATGATGGGAGGTTGTGTCGCGATGGTGGCAAAGAACGAGTTGTTGTTACCTGACTTGACAGGTATGAGACCTTTCAGCACCTCATAGTGCTTCCAACCCTTGTCCCGGAGGCCTTTGGCCTTTGGATTTTTCTATTGATTCATAGTAATTAGCATTGTCGTAGTAGTTTGATGCGAATTGAAATCACTTTACCTTCACAAAGTCGGTCCACATGTTTTTGGACTCTGGGGTGATTGAAGCTCCGCGTTCCATGCTGTAAGATAGTCTGGAAGCGTTGGCCACTTTGTCGACGACATTGAATGTACCACGGAGCTGAAATTTGATCATTAGTGAGGGTACCAAGGCTGATATAGTAGTAGTACATACCCGCCCCCATTTTGATTGACATGCTGCCGCTGTTTTGCTTGCACCCGAGCAGGGGTGTTTTTCCATTTCAGCGGCAGCAGCAACCCAAAATGTGTGATCAAAGTTCATACCATCACCACCTTGTGAGCGGTTGGTGGTGACATACTGGATGAGGATGGTTTCATCTGCCTCTGTCCACACACACTGATCTCTTGATTCCGTTAGCTCTGCACCACCACGGGCACTTTTTCTGCCCCGAGACATCCTGTAAGAGTTGCGATGATGGATAGATTGTAGACGGGTAATGGGCATGCCTACTACTTAGTATTGATTGATGGTCACACTGTGACCAGCACGGTCCTATGATTATGAAAGCAAAACATAGATTCTAAACCTGCGTAAACTGGCACAAATATTGGTGGCCAAACAGACTCTAAAGATAAAAGAATGAAAATTAATAGCGAGACTTGCACATTATGTCGAGATATACAACATAACAAGCCTATGATGTGATCAGAGACCTGGAATAACACCCATATACATCCATTATAATAGCTTAAAAGCTTAGAAAGGTTCAGGGGTTGGTAAAATGTGTATGGATATATGGAAGGTTGATTTAAACATTTTTGAAAGATGTTGCATATCAAATGTCAAGTCCCAAGTTTTGATTTCCAGGTTTCGGGAGTGCTGAGTCCCGAAGCCCAGAGTCCCGAAACCTGGAGTTCTGAAACCTGGAATTCAAAATTTGGGACTTGACATTTGATGAGACATCTTTCAAAAATGTTTAAATCAACCTTTTATATATTTATATACATTTTACCAACCCCCGAACCCCTAAATTGTGGACTGCCGGGTTTCGGGGTTCGGGGGTCCTGGAACTTAGAACTCGGTATGTGAGACAACAAAAATATATTTCAAACATAGGTAAGTCAATGTGTTTGTCAATCAACTTGATTGTAAATCAAATTTTATTGGTCTCCCCAAATTTCCCAAGTTCCGAGTTCCAAGTTCCGAGTTCTGAGTTCTGAGTTCTGAGTTCCAGGACCCCTGAACCCCGAAACCCGGCAGTCCACAATTTCGGGGTTCAGGGGTTGGTAAAATGTGTATGGATATATGAAAGGTTGATTTAAACATTTTTGAAAGATGTCTCATCAAAATGTCAATTCCTGAGTTTTGAATTCCAGGTTTCAGAACTCCAGGTTTCGGGACTCTGGGCTTTGGCACTCAGCACTCCCGAAACCTGGAAATTGAAACTCGGGACTTGACATTTGATATACAACATCTTTCAAAAATGTTTAAATCAACCTTTTATATATTTATATACATTTTACCAACCCCTGAACCCCGAAATTGTGGACTGCCGGGGTTTGGGGTCCCGGAACTCGGAACTCGGGATGTGAGACAACAAAAATATATTTCAAACATGGGTAAGTCAATGTGTGTGTCAATCAACTTGTTTGTAAATCAAACTTTATTGATCTCCCCAAATTTCCCAAGTTCCGAGTTCCAGGACCCCTGAACCCCGAGACCCAAAACCCAGCAGTCCACAATTTCGGGGTTCAGGAGTTGGTAAAATGTGTATGGATATATGAAAGGTTGATTTAAACATTTTTGAAAGATGTCTCATCAAATGTCAAGTCCTAAGTTTTGATTTCCGGGTTTCGGAACTCCAGGTTTTGGGACTCAGCACTCCCAAAACCCGGAGGGCTTTAGATTCAGTGGTCGATGGTAGGTATATGCACTCATAGTGTACATGTATCCTACATCTTCAATTTGCTGGTGGCTACATCAGCTGTATGTCTTGATGAAATGTATCTAAGCTCACCCATATATGTACCCATCTATGTACAATTCCCCAATGTCAGCCCACCCATCTATGTAATACATCCTATGTTGGCCCACCCGTCTATATAATTATACTCCACCTTGGCCCACCTGTCTATGTAATAAATATTTTATTGCACCCTCAGCCCACCTGTATATGTAATACACCCCACGTCAGCCCACCCATCTATGTAATATTCCCCTACCTCGGCCCACCCATATATGTAGTACACCCCTGTCAGCCCGCCCGTCTACATAACAATATTTGCCTTACATCTCTCTTCAGCCCAGCTGTCTATAATATCCTACTCTACATATCACCCAGATGGGCCCACCCATCTCCATGAATGATCGCATTCCCCCGGCCCATCCCTCAACATCAAGGATATATATATCATTGGCATACATGGGCCCACCCGTCTCCATCAGAAATAATATGTGTCCCATCATCATCAAGAATATACACAACATGGGCTCATAATCCGCTGGCCCATCTCATACGGGATATTATGTAGGTTGGGTGGCCCGTATAATACGGAATTTGTCACTGAAGGGGCTCCTATATCGGCTGTTGTGGTTATACCCCTGTAGAGTCCTGCTGGCCGGATATAAAAGTATGAACTCAGTATCAGCTGTTGTGGTTGTACAGATGTAGAGCTGGCTGATATTGTAGATCTAAGCTCATAAACTTAACAGTGAGATTCTGCATTAACCAAATATATGACAGTACTGGTCATTTGAACTAGTGAGGTGGCAAGGTATATACAGCCAGTTAATTGTCCATATAGCACATGTCAGGTTTCCAATGGGTGCCTGCAATATGTTACAGAATATAGTCCCAACCCAGCCAGCCATAATCTACAGTAGGTATTACCCCACCGGCCATGACTGTGGTGATAATTATTGTATCGGCTGGCCACATCCTACAGTAGGTATACCTCCACCGGCCAAGACTGTGGTGATAATTATTGTATCGGCCGACCATATTCTACAGTAGGTATACCCCCACTGGCCAAGACTGTGGTGATAATTGTTGTATCAGCCGACCATATTCTACAGTAGGTATACCCCCACCAACCATGACTATGGTGATAATTCTGCATTGCCCATTTTTCTTATATTACAGTAAAATCCCAAGTGGCATTTCAACTAAGGAAGAACTAAGCATACTACATATATACTATAAATTTACATTTTTCTTGGTAGGTTGCCTTGCCCTTGTAGAACATCACATTGCAGGCTTAGCCTTAACTGGCTTCTTGAACTTGTTTGAAGAAACCTTAGGCTCAGTCTTAGCCCTTTTGGAGTTTCGAGAGGGGACTTGGGTTCTTGATCTCTTCTTCCCAGTCTGCTTCACTTCAACCTCCTCCTCCTCCTCCTCCTCCTCCACCACCACCACCTCAGTGTCCTTCTCCTGCTCCATCTCTATGTCCTGCACCCCAGCTGACACCTACCTTGCTTGCCTTCTGTATTTTCATCTTCCTCGTTCTGTAGATACCTATCCCTCATATGCAACTCAATGATGCCCACTACAGAAGACAAGACATCAGATACTGCCCTTTACAGGAGATGTAAGAATGATAAATTGAAGACAGAGTTGGCAAGGTAGGCAGGGGTATCCGGAGGGGCCTTGTCTTCCTCATACTTGATCCTCATTTACACTCCCTAAAGAGCATACCCAATCCTAACACCACAGAGATGGCCGATGTGTCATTGGAAATATTGGCAGTCCTAAGTTTGTTCAGGCTGGCTTCCAGCATCTTCCGAGATTCATGAATGTCCTTCGGAAGATAATCATGCCTCCAGGACCATTTAGCCCAAGAGGGCCAGTCACTATGGTAGGTCTTTTGAACAATGAGTATCTAACTATTCAATTAAAAATTCAAGTTACTCACCATCTATTCAGAGGATTTTGCCAAATCACGAGTGGTGTCCACCAATTCAAGGTAGTTGTCATCCATGCTGAGGCCTTCTAAAAACACCCATCATTCATCATATACCTCATTGAAGAGGACACTGGCAGAGGCGATGGGTAGAGAATTACCGGCCGGCACAATCCTATCCTTCGTAGAATCTAAGCCAAGTTCACCTCTACTTCGTCAGAAGAAAGAACTTCTACATAGTCCTTCGTCTTTCTCTTCTTTTCTTCTTTGTCAGCTACCTTCATCATCTTATCACCCTTCTTTGCATTTATAAAAATGACCAGCTTCTTCTTTGCAAGGCTTTGGCTCTCCCAATGGTGCCAGAGAGAAATTACATCCTCTAACCTCATGTGCGAAGGATCTCTCACCACCAATGTCTCGGGAACACAAGTAGCCTCCAGATAGTGAGGGGCATTAGCAACAATCTGTCGCCAAGGCACAGGTCTATTGGTCTTGGTGAAGACCTCTATGGACCAACAAATTAATCAAATGTAAGCTAATTAAAACTTCAAACTTACTATATGAAGCGAAAAAAATGTTTCTAATCAAATCCTGTTGTCCCCTGAGAGCCACACCCTTACGAGATGGGAGCTTTGCATAGCCTTCTTCATCCAATATAAGTTCTGGTTCGGCCTCAGCCTTGTCTGAATCATCTATCTCTAAATCATCCTGATCTTTGTCTGTAGGATCTATTTTATTAATGAAAACTCATGAGTCTATACCAAGTATCACAAGTAGAATATAAGATGTACAGAATTCAGTCTTAGACTATTCTGAAAATAATTCAAAACCTGTTGAAGACCACTCCTTGATACTGTCAGAGCTGACAGAAAATTTTTTCTTGACACTCTGCAGTTTAGATTCATGTCTAAATGTTATTATTAGTCTGGCAAATGATATAGGTAATACAGAAACTGACAAGGTAACAGCCAAGGACTTATCAGTCTTCTTCTTGTGACTGACTAGCATTACAACTCGGCAACCCATGGTGCGGCATAGTTCCTCCGAAATTTCTTCAAGCTTTTTCTTGAGATTATCCTTCTGATAGCTTTAAATCAAGTCAGCTTAAATTGAACATACTGTAATATGACCACTTACACAGCCTGAATTTCCTCAGGCGCACCTTCCTTGTTTCATTTCTCCATTGCATCTTTAACCTCTTTCTCTTGCTTAGCCGTCATCTTCTTAAACCACTCTCTGGCATGACCCATCCTATGCTTGATAGAGTCATCCAATTCTTTCCTCACCCTCTCTGCCTTGTTGAAGTCATCAATCTCCTGCTTGAATAACTTCTGGGCGACATCCCACTCATTACATTCTTTCTTGTAAGATAGTGCAGTTTGGGGACGTGCAAGTGCTTTTCTTTCCTCCACTGTCACAACAGGTTCATCCTCCACATCTGGCTCAGCTTCTTTATCTGATTTCTCAGAGTCAGAGTCAATTCTCTCGTAGTAATATGTTTGAATAGCCTGTACATAAAAATAAATATTGATGATATCAATTATCCACAGAGTTTCTTAAGTAACTTTTTCAAAGAACTCAGCAAGGTCACTCCAGGATGATCCCCCTGAGCTTTAAGAATAGCATTTTTGACTTTTTTTCACCACATGAGAACGGTGTGTTGAAGAGTCTTTGTTGGACTGGAAGTCCTGTTCAAACTGATCAAGAACAGATTTAAACTTCAGAGTCCAATCGGAAGACATGATCTTGAGAGTGTATACAAATGTCAAGGATTGAGATTTGGTAGGTAGAGGCGCACTTAGTGTATAACATTGGTGGCCAGACACCAACATAGTCATGTGACTGTGTTTGGGGTCATGTGATCGTGTTTGACCTGCAATATTTGCTATGTATGGACAAGTCTTCTATCAAAGTGCTACAGGAAAACAAGAGCGGAAATCATGATTGTAAGATGAACTAGGTAGACTATCTACTAACTGCAAAACTGCTAATATCAATGGTAAAAACTAAGCAGTAGTCACAAAGGGATCTCAATCCAGCTGGAAACACGAGTTTTGCCTGGTATAAGCACCCTTGAGTTAGCTGGCGCACTAAACACAAAACCCCTCCTGCAATTTTCACCCTTACACTCAAACAAATATTCCTTCTGGTGGTTAGCAGAGTTCCAAGTGTCTACCAAACCACAGTCAGGGCACTGAAGTGGCAGAAAATTACCCCAAGGGCGGAGGTGAGAATGAGTCCAGCAGTATCTGAAAATGTCAACAGAGTTGATGTTGTGCTTTAACAGCAAAAACATGTCTGAATGGTGGCCCAGCTTGTAGGACTGGCCTAGCATGTCGGGGAATGCTTGTTTAATAGAGTGATGCTAGATGAGGACGAGCTCGCAGAAAGCAAGCAAGAGATGAGCTGAGAAGCTTGGTTGGAATCAGACAGCATTGAACACTATGGCAGCTGAAACACCATGACTATTCCAATCAAAAAAAAGTAGTGTTAGTGCTGAGCAACAAATGAGTGGAGTACTTACTGGGCAACCAAAACACGCAAATTAGAAAAGGATTCTGCATTGTTGACCAGTGCCCCACAATAAAAGAGCCAAAGGAATGATTCTGGCGCACGATCAATGAGAACCTGCCATGGTCCAAGAATGATGGCCAAAAGCTATGACCAGTGAGAAACACAAAGATTGAAAACGAAAATATGCACATCATGAACCGGAGTAGCAACATGTCTTTCTTTCATACCCTACAAATGGGTCTCCAGACGAGTTGTCAGTATGGTTAGATATAGCAAAGACAATGTGGCTCCAGGTGGTACTAGATAGTTTGTCCACCAGGGCCGCCATGCTGTCTTCGTATGTCTTGACCTTGGAGGCGGTGTAGAAACAACAATACTGAGAGGAACAAATGATGCTCCTGACTGTATCTAAAAAATGTTGTAAGGTCACGCGTTAGAAGAGTCCAGCTGTTGCACTTGCACTAGTGGTCGTATCCTGTATTGTGCGGCTCACATGATAGTGATCTTTGCACTTAGCCACTTTAGCTTGCGTTGGCGCTATCGCTGTGACTAAGGTTGCAATTGGCGCTATCATGGGCGCGCAAACTGGCGCGCTTGGTGCGGGAAAAGTGTGCGCAGGTAATAGGAACTGCGCAGCTGCGAAAACATCCATGAATGGGTATGGGTTGTATGGGTGGTGGTCAGGGAACTTGATCATAAGGCACAAGCGAATTTGCGCCTGAGCATCGCTAGGGATTCCTTCCATGAATAAGTGGTCGTGTTCGGCCTTTCCAATACGATCTTCATCTATGAGTGGCTGCATAACTTTCCTGAATGCGCGCAGGTACAGTGGCTCAAAAAAGTGTCCCAATGTTTGTAGCTTTTCATGTAATTGCTATATCATGTGTCAAGATGTGGGAATATGACTATGCTATAGGGAGATGTCAGAAAGGTCTGCATCTCAGCTTCATTTCGGTTCCCTATACCGTGGGAAACTAATGACATTATGTGAAGATATGAGTATTTTAATTTGATGACTCATTGGGACACTTTTTTGACTTTGAGTTTTACTAATGTAATCTCTATAATTCTAGTACTGTGTGTGACCTCCTTCTGCTCCAATCACTTCTGCCACTCTTCTGAACATATTCTCCATCAATTTTGGGTATTCCTCTTTGGTGATTCCATCATACTCTGCTGTAACACTGTCTCATAGTTGGAATAGCCCCTATAGTGAATCTTGATATGCTACAAGTAATTTCTTGAGTGATTCTCAGGGGTATTCAATAGGGTTGATGTCTTGGGTCTATGTTGAACATGATAGAATAGTAATATCATGGTTTGCAAGCTATTGGTGGCTGATTTAGAGGTATACTTAGGGTCATTGTCTTATCACAAAACAGTATCTTCTTTATTAACTCATAACTTCTGCATGCTTCTTAGCAGACACTTCTGTCAAATGAGTATTTACTACTCTGTATTCATCCTCCCCTTTGCTTCATAGAAGATTCCCACTCCATTTTATCTCATATAGTCCTATACCATCAAGTTTTGTCTTGAAACTTAAGGTGTTTATTTAACTTTTCTTTATCTTAATGATTGTCCTATCTATTTTAATATAAATTCTTTGCCATATGATCTCATCCTATTGATTTTAACCTCATCTAGCTAGATAAACCTCTTTCAGCTATTAGCAGTCCAATATTTGTACTTGAAAGTCGCATCTTGTCTTTTCTTTTTAAAGGTTGGAGACAGAGGAATCTGTTTTTCTTGATTATAGCTTTAAGATGGGCTGTCTTGAGAGTGTGTCTGACTATTTAAGTAGAGATAGTCATAGGAATGATGGAAATAATCAATTTAGTCACTTTATTAGCATCAGCAGTCTTTCTAATTAGAATATAGTGATTAAGAGATCTTAAGTCTTATAGAGCAACCTTCTAGATTGGCTACCAAATAACTTAAAGACCATAATATTACTATTCTATCATGTTCAACATAGACCCAAGACATCAACCCTATTGAATACCCCTGAGAATCACTCAAGAAATTACTTGTAGCATATCAAGATTCACTATAGGGGCTATTCCAACTATGAGACAGTGTTACAGCAGAGTATGATGGAATCACCAAAGAGGAATACCCAAAATTGATGGAGAATATGTTCAGAAGAGTGGCAGAAGTGATTGGAGCAGAAGGAGGTCACACACAGTACTAGAATTATAGAGATTACATTAGTAAAACTCAAAGTCAAAAAAGTGTCCCAATGAGTCATCAAATTAAAATACTCATATCTTCACATAATGTCATTAGTTTCCCACGGTATAGGGAACCGAAATGAAGCTGAGATGCAGACTTTTCCGACATCTTCCTATAGCTTAGTCATATTTCCACGTCTTGACTCATGATATAGCAATTACGTGAAAAGCTACAAATATTGGGACACTTTTTTGAGCCACTGTAACTGCTTAGCTCTGTGCAAGAGGGCATCGGCTTGTTAGCGTATTCGCGCGCAATGGCGCGCAAGTCTGCGAGTGCATAGCGTCTTTTACCATCCCATCCAGGATACATTACCTTCACCTCATCTAAGAAGGCATCGTAATTGCTTACTTGCACCTCGGGCATTCCGCCCCATAGTTCTCGATCATCGCATTCAAGGTAGCGGATAATACCTTTGATGCGATTGAGTCCTTGGAGTCCTGCTTCATCAGCGAGTTGCTCATATGCGTCAATGAACTCGGTGAGGTTGTCTGTAGTGCCGTCAAACTTGGGCGCATTTGCTGTGCCATGGATGGGCATTCTATAAGGCATTGAAGTGCGTGAAAGGTGCGCGCATGAGGCGCGCAGGCGTGGGAATATTGCGCGCATGCAAGGCACGAGAATGCATGACTAGAAAATGATTAGCTTTTGAAATTGCAAAGAGATTTACCTATATGTGCAAAATGCGCAAAACTAGATCCTGCTGACTGCTTCCCTTGCGGTGGGCTCCAGTTGTAGAAACAACAATACTGAGAGGAACAAATGATGCTCCTGACTGTATCTGAAAAATGTTGTAAGGTCGCGCATTGCCTAGTCTGCATTACTTGAGGAGACAAGTGCATTCAACCCTAAAGGGGAAGCAAGTGGAGTGAAGATCTAGAGGTATGCGCTGAAGCGAAGCATGAGAAAGCGCAGGTGCACGCAAGGCGTGGGAATGCACGCATGTATTGCGCGAAGCGCGGGAAAGTGCGCATGTGTATGCGGAAATGAGAGACTAAGCATAAGTGATGATATAAAGCAAGATAAGAGATGTGAGATGCAATGTGCTAATGAATAGATTTCTACTGCGACTTTCTAGGTATTAAGTATGTCAGTAAAGTTGGGTGAAAAGGTAAGTGAAAGGTAGGAAAAGTAAGTAAGTAATAGTATGTACTGCTGGCGCTTATATAGCATGCCTAAGCGCGGTCATGCGGAGCCGAAGCGCTACCGAGTAGGTATGTAAAGATATATATGAGTGAGAGTCCATGATAAAAATAAAGACGGAACAATATGCAAATGAGAGAAATAGAAATATATGCACTAGAAGGTTTGGTGGACAGTGGATGGATGCTTCTGGATGGCTGGCGCTCAAGCGCGGGAATGCATGCGCGTTGTAGAGACTCATGCCTCTCATGGTGTGATATGGTGCTTTACACTAGGGAGTACATAGCACAAACTTGCAGCATCACTCTGTGTGCTATCCGCAGGTATTCCACTATGAGGCGCAGCTTTCCCACGCACCATTCCCACGCTTCACGATGTATATGCGCTTGAGCGCCCTATAGCGCCAGCCATCCAGAAGCATCCATCCACTGTCCACCAAGCCCTCTAGTGTGTATATTTCTATTTCTCTCATTGCATATTGTTCCATCTTTATTTTTATCATGGACTCTCACTCATATATCTTTACATACCTACTCAGTAGTGCTTCGGCTCCACATGACCGTGCTTAGGCACGCTATATAAGCGCCAGCAGGACCTTTTTACCTTAGGAAACTTTCCACTTTACTTTACTTTCCAACCACTATCTACCTAGAAGAACATGGTTGAAATCTATTTGTCTACACTTTGCACCTCTCTTCACTTATCTTGTATTATATTATCACTTAAGCTTAGTCTCTCTATCATTTCCGCACGCGTGCGCGCTAATACGCACGTGTGTTCCTGTGCCCTGCGCGCACCTGCGCTTTCTTGCGCTTCACTTCAGTGCATACCTCTAGATCTTCACTCCACTCGCTTCCCCTTTAGGGTCGAACGCACTTGTCTCCTCAGGTAACGCAGACTAGGCAACGCACAACCTTACAACATTTTTCAGATACAGTCAGGAGCATCATTTGTTCCTCTCAGTATTGTTGTTTCTACAGCGTGTATACATCGCGAAGCGCGGGAATGGTGTGCGCATGATGCGCATTACGCGAGAAAGCTGTGCCTCATATAGGAATAACTGCAGATAGCACACAGAGTGGTGCTGCAAGTTCGTGCTATGTACTCCCTAGTGAAAAGTGCCATATCACACCATGAGAGGCATGAGTCTCTACAGCAGTACCAACATCAAAAGTTACCTTGTGGTACTCCATGACAGCGTTGGGAAAGTATGGCATCAAAAATTAATGCACGAGTTCAAATGAGGTACCGATGGTATCACAGTCCACCAGGGTGAGATGAACGAAGAGGAGAGTGTCGGAAGAGAGTTGTGATGTCATGTTGATCTCGAGGGCAACGTGGATAGGGAGGAACAAGTCCAGTACCAGCTTGTTGTTCCTATAGAAACCCTTTTGTTTGATGGTGAATCAATATACAAATCAAAAAGACTTGAAAACTCACAAAGTATGGTGCCAAGGCATTGCCTCCTTGGCGCTGTCCTGTAACGTGACAGCAGATACAGCGAAAGGTCACATGCAGTGCACGGACAGCTTGCGCAAAAGCAAGGGGAATAATGATGCAGTGGGTGCAGACGACATGTGGACATTCGTCACACAACAGGAGAAAGTTGTCATCCACAGAACCATCTCTGCAAATTATACAGAACTAATGAAATATTTCAACTGTTCAATAAATAAAAAATTAAGACTCACATCATTGTGGCAAAATCCTTTGCAAACTTCAACATCATCCTGTCGCCCAACAGCCAAACCATTTCCTGCAGTGCTGCCTATCAGTAACTTCACACGACCTGCTGATCCGCCAGTGGCCTTGCGGGCTGTTTGCTTCATTCTGGCCATGGACGCATTGAATGTGGTTAAGAGGCGACCGGCAAAAGCCAAATGGTAATGGTGAAGCTGGATTTGAAAGAGAAGACAAAAGAAGGTGGTAGTGGACTTAGGATGTTGATGCGTTCTGAACAATGGACCAAATAATAATAAATATTCCGAATTTGGATTGTGTGGAGTGCTGAGTGTGAATTTTGTTGTAGAACAAACAGTTACAAAGTGATACATTTATCATACTCAAGTTCAACTTCCCACGGTTCAACTTTCTGTCCTCCTTCCTTTACCACAATGTCCATCGTCCATCTTGTCATTGTTCTTGCCATCACTATCTATTGATGCGACTTGAAGGCTATCTTTGGATCCTTGCAGGGGCTGCAGCCCTGCAAGGACCCAAAGGTTCTCCCTCAAAGTCGCCTCTGAGTACAGTAAGTGGCTTTCCTTTGTGCATTCACTTACTGACCTTGCCTTCTTCAGTACTTCAAAATATGTAGCGCAGGTAAGTCAATCCTTTTACGGTCCCCATATGTTAACCTAGCTGTTTGTAGATCTGAGTTGTCCTTAATGGCATCTCTTTTGCTGTTATGCTGGCGTCCCTTTGATTGTGTCGTCTTTTTGTTGGTGAGTCCTTGATATTCGTCCAATGGTACTGACACTTTGTTCCTAGATTTATGTCTCTTATTGTCAGATTTTTCTCTTATTCTGACTGGCGTCTCTCTTCTGATGTCATCTATGATGGTGAGTGGTTGATCTCTGTCTCATAATGCTGATGATGTTTTTCCAGACATAATTCTGTTGGTTCTGGGGGATCTATTTCACGCAGTGCATGCTACTTAGTGTAGCTCCTGTGCTTTGGGTCTGGGGGCCATACTTGCTGCAGTGCATGCTACTCAGTGTAGCTCCTGCGCTTTGGGTCTGGGGGCTATATGTGCTACAGTGCATGCTACTCACTATAGCTCCTGCACTTTGAGTCTGGGGGCTATACTTGCCGCAGTGCATGCTACTTAGTGTAGCTCCTGCGCTTTAGGCTGTGTGGCGCATTGTTCCCCTTTGTGTGGGTTGTGCTTTTGGTGCCAGCTGTATGTGAGTCCTTCTCCTGCCCACAGTTTTCTTACTGATTCTCCCTGCAGATCAGTGATTCCGTTACATTTTAAAGTTAAGTGCTCTACTTCATTTGACATTCATGATCTAAAATATTTCAAATGCAGGATTTTTGTAGTTTACGTTTAGTATTAGTTTTATTACCTACTTTTCTATTGGAACCAAGGCTTGGGTGAGGAGGGCCCCCTCACTCAAGTATTGTGTCTCCCCTTTGATTTCTTATAAATTTTGTAGTAGTTGATATAAATTGTCTTATTACTTTGTTGTATGGCACAAATGGACATCCTTTGCCTAATTTTTTGCTGGCCAGAAAAGTCATGTAACCGTGTGAACTGAACTTCGGCTTTGCCATAGCTATTGCTGTGTGCCATGATGGGATGTCAATGTTAAAATCTGTACTACATTTACTTGATGTGGTGGAGCATCCGCCATTCCTCCACCATTAAGCGAATGCAGTTTACATTCAATGGTGGACGTTCAATCCGTCAATGCTGAATGTCCACTGCATTCACTTAATGGTGCTGAACAAATGTAGTTCACATTCAACGGTGGACACTTCACCATCTATTAATGCTGGATGTAAACTGCATTTGCTCAGCACCATTAAGTGAATGCAGTGGACATTCAGCATTGATGGATTGAACGTCCACCATTGAATGTAAACTGCATTCGCTTAATGGTGCTGAACAAATGCAGTTTACAGTGACTTAAAAAAGTGTACGAATGTTTATGCATTTTCAAGTAATTGGGCAATGGAAAGCCAGGACTCAATGATAACAAAGAGGTATAGGGACACGTCTGAAAGCCCTATATCATTGCTCGAATTTGAGATATTCATTGTGAGAATCCAACCATATATGGGTAAGATATGGTAATTTCAAAGACATGACTCATTCGGACACTTTTTTGACTTTATATTTAACCAAGACTATTCTACAATTCTAGTACTTGGTGTTACCCCCTTTGGCTTTAATAACTGCTGCAATCCTCCTAGGCATACTTTCTATCAATTTCTGACACTCCTCTTTAGTAATCTTTTCCCACTCTGCTGCAACTCTCTCCCATAGTTCAAATAGCCCCTTTGGAGGATCTTGATAGGCAGCAAGTAGTCTTTTGAGTAATTCCCAGAGATGTTCAATGGGATTCAGATCTGGAGACTGTGCTGGCCATGATAGAACATTGATATCATGGTCTTCAAACCATTTTGTGGCCAGTTTTAAGGTGTGCTTGGGGTCATTATCTTGTTGAAAGATGATGTCTTCTTCATTAATCCCTGACTCCTGCATGCTTTTGATACAACCCCATACTATCATGTTTCCTGCTCCAAACTTCAGTGTACCCTTGACTTCTCTTTCTCCTAATGGTTCTCCTGCCTTTTTCCACACATATTCCTGGCCATCTGACCCCATTCTATTGATTTTTGTTTCATCTGACCAAATAACCTTCTTCCAGTCTTCCACAGTCCAATGTTGGTGCTTTAAAGCA